TGATATGAAAAATTACTATTTTACAGTAGTAAAGATAGAAAAATGTAATTTTTTTCTTGAAATTTATGTTTATCTTACAATTTTACTGAATTGACCAGCAAACAAATTAAAATCATAATAATCATGTATTGTTCCGCAAAAATCATCCGCAATCGCCAAATCGATCTCTAAATAAGGATAACACGCACCCAACCCACCAATAAAATTGGATATTCTCATGATGCTGCGCAAAATTGCGGATGATTTTGCGGAAAAATACGATTTTAAACAATCTTCAAAAAATTTTGTGCAAACATACACAAAAATTGATCAGTGAATTTTTATACACTGGTGAAAGGGTCAAGAGGAATTAATATAGTGGACGAGGAAGAAATAATTGAAAAGTATATTAATATTGACAATCAAGAGTATCATACTAAATAGAGCCGTCAAAACAATTGCTATTGGAATCTGATATAGAATATGTTCTAGATAAACATTTCAGCTAAGATTTTAATAATATAATATAATTTATAATTTTTGATTTTGACATTATATTACACTCGATAAGTCGGACGCGACAAATCATTGTATGATCAAGTTTTATACGTGTACGACCAATCATAACATTACGACATATTGCATAATAGTTTGGCTGTCGGAAAATACAAAAACGTTTATTTGGAAAAGTGGCTTTATGTGTGTACACATGATTAATATTAACCAATTAAAAAATTTCCACTAATTAACATAGCACATAAATAGGCTGTATGATAATTACTTGCAAAAAATAGACTTCTCCCATATATTTTTTCCATACACAAACACAGGTAAAAAAAAAAACAAAATAAACCATTGTTGAATTTATTTTTTCATGCACAAAACACAGGTAAAAAAAAAATCAAAATAATCATTGTTGAATTTAATTTTTTTTTATCAGTAATGGGAAGAAGCCGAACTCGATATGTTCAGAAGAGCTGCACAAACTGTCGTAAAGAGAAAAGAAGATGCAGTGAGGGCATAATCTGCAAAAGATGCTCTGATCGTGGTAGGGAATGCAAGAGAAATTGGGATTCACAGAAAAGAGGACGAAAAAAAAATAACACAGGTGATATTATTTTTTATTTTTTTTATTTTTATTATTTTTATTTTATTTTAAATTATGCAATTTATACAGATGGCAATAGCGGGAATAACATGACCGATGAAGCTATATTTATATTGGGGGATAATAATCCTTTGGCCATACCACCTGTCACCGAAGGTAGAATATACATATATCAACATCAACTAACATTAGATGAAAATATGTTCAAAATAATTAAGAAATAAATTTTAATTTGTTCTTTTTAAAAAATATTATTTTCCTAGTTTACTTTTAACTGTTATTCTTATTATAATTTTTAATTTTTTGTATAAAAACAATGATTAAAAATTATAAAAAATTAATTATAAATACATTAATTTTATTATTACAATTTTTTTTTTCAATTATGGAGCATGTAGATCGCGTGTATTATTATTATTCTTTACTTTATTAATATTGTTCACAAAGAAACAAAAAAATTCAATGAAAATAAAAATAACAAAAATATTCTTGAGAAAGTCTTGCTTTTTTTAAGTTGAGACCATTAAATAAATTCTCACGGTTAAATTTTTCACTTGACCAGAAAATGAACAATCTTCTGTATACAAAAATTCCAGACTTGACTTGCCAAAGAAGAAAAAACAGTGCTTCGTTTCTTCTATACTGAGAATTCAGCTAATTGAAGCTGATTACGAAAAAGAAAGAGTGGTATGTATAAGTAGTCACAAATATCACGGGAAGAGTTTATTCAATCATAAGTTGGTCAAAGAAACTTACCGTAACTAGAGTACTTATATTGAGGGGAACATTTGGTATATATGCTGTTGTGCAACATTGACTAATACTAAATCGCGCTTTTATCGATTCCTGTTTTGATTTATCTAGAAGCACTTAATAGATCCCGAAAATAATGATAATATTGCAAAAAAACAGAAGGGCGAGTTATGTACGATATACTCTTTGAATAAATTTTATCATCATAGCACATGAACAAAATGTAACGGAAATACAAAGATGAATCCACCTTCAGTAACTTGTGCAATTCTGAACTTCAAACCCTTTCAAAAACCACCGCTCTGATTTTAGTTGGCCTGTCAATTTTTATCATGATGTCTTCGACACAATTTATTAAGAAGGCAAGACTTTCTTGAGAAAGATTTTTGTTATCTTTGTTTTTATTGAATTTTTTAGTTTTTTGTGAACGAAATGAAAAATACACACGATCTACATGCGCATATTCTATAATCAAAAAAAAAAAATTGTAATAGCTATGAGGGAAATAAATACTAAAAATTTTCATAATAATAATAATAATTTTTAACGAATGTAAAGATTTATTTTCTAATCATTTTCAAGTTTTATTAATATATCATATTCTTCAGATGTTAGAGGAACACCACCAAGTCTACGTCCATAATCAAATCTCAAATCCATCATATGTTGAGTGTTATTATCTACATAAAGTTGTACAGAAATAATATTATTTCAAAAAAAGATGTTGATATATATATATATATATTCATTATAGTATCTACCTTGATCGAAGACGACATTTTCCGATGGTGTGGACAAAGGATTGCCTGGAAACATATTATCACACCCAAATAACAATCTATTTCCATCGATCATATTATCTTCATTATTATTATTATTATTATTGCCATTGTTATCATTATTATCTATATAAAATTGTATAATTTAAAATCAATCAAAAAATAACATTATCTACCTTGATTGAAGTCAACATATTCTGGTAGTATGGTGGACAAAGGATTATCTGGAAACATAAGATCATATCCATGTAAAAATCCAGTTCCATTAGTAATGTTATTCTCTTCGTTGTTATTATTATTATAATTGCCATTGTTATTATGATAATTTTTTTGATCTTGAAACATAAAAATATTGTATTATCATAAAATATATATATTTTATTTTTTTAATGTTTATTAAAATAAAAATAATAAATAATAAAAATAATAAAAATAAATAATAAAAGATAAAAAATAATATTATCTACCTTGATTGAGGTCGACATATTCCGATTGTATGGGCAAAGGATTATCTGAAAACATACTAATACCATCATATCCAGATAAAAATCTATCTCCATCGGTCATGTTATTCTCTTCATTGTTATTATTATTATTGTCATTGTTATTATTATCATCTATATAAAAATTGTATAATTTAAAAATAATATTATCTACCTTGATTGAAGTTGGCATCTCCTGATGGTATGGTGGACAAAGGATTATCTGGAAACATATAACCATACCCAGCTCCATTGATAATGTTATTCTCTTCGTTGTTATTATTATCTGTCATTGTCATTGTTAATATTATTATCTACATAAAATTTTATAATTAAAAAATAATATTATCTACCTTGATTGAAGTCGGCACCTTCTGATGATATGGTGGACAAAGGATTATCTGGAAATGTATAACCAGATAAAAATCCAGCATCATCGATAATGTTATTCTCTTCGTTGTTATTATTATCTGTCGTTGTCATTGTTATTATTATCATCTACATAAAATTTTATAATTAAAAATAATATTATCTACCTCGATTGAAGTCGGTATTTTCTGATGATATGGCGGGCAAAGGATTATCTGGAAATATATAACCAGATAAAAATCCAGCTTCATCGATCATGTTATTTCTTTGTTGTTATTATTATCACATATATAAAATTGTATGATTTAAAAATAATAATATCTACCTTGATTGAAGTTGGCATCTCCTGATGATATGGCGGACAAAGGATTATCTGGAAACATATAACCACACCCAGCTCCATTGATCATGTTATTCTCTTCGTTGGTATTATTATCTGTCATTGTCATTGTTATTATTATCATCTACATAAAATTTTATAATTAAAAAAAATAATATTGTCTACCTTGATTGAAGTCGGCATCTTCTGATGGTATGGTGGACAAAGGATTACCTGGAAGCATATTATCATACCCAGCTTCATCGATCATGTTATTCTCTTTGTTGTTATTATTATCTGTCATTGTCATTGTTATTATTATCATCTACATAAAATTGTATAATTAAAAAATAAAAAATAATATCACCTGTCTTTTTTTTTGGCCCTCTTTGCTCTGGATTCCAACTTTTATCGCAGTTCCTACCACGTTCTAAGCATCTTTGGCAGGGAATTCCTTCGCTGCACTTCTTCCGCTCATTTTTACATTCCGAACAGGCTTTAGTTACATAGTGACCTCTTTTCATCACTGGTAAAAAAATAAATTCAACGATGGTTAAAATGATTGTTTATTTACTAAAATTTTGATTTTTCTACCCGTGTTTGTATTTGTGTATGTATTTCCAAGAAAAAAATAGGAACGAAACGGTAATAAAAAAATTTTTTCCTTGTAAATATTTTTAAAAAGAAAGTTCCTCTAGAAACCTGCTATTTATACATTTCTTTATCTATATCGGTAAAACTGTCAATATAGCGGTATTTTTTTCAATTGGTATTCTATTAATATGTCAACATAAACGTTTTTTTTTGTTCGGAATTTACTTTAATTGTCCAAATTAATATGTATATTATTGAATTGTTTGTTCAAAATAAAAAGATCAGATGAATGAATTATTTTTGCGACAAATATTCCTATAAGCCGCAGCTGCATGGATAATGCCAATCAGTAATGTGACGTGTCATTGTTGCGATTCTATTCGTTAGTTCAAAATTCCGATAATGATCATTGTTGGATGGTTGGGGCCGACAAAGTTCACCTAATTTAAGGTAAGGTTAGGTTACACAACACATATTAATATGGCAAAAAATCACAAGACCGCGATTTTAAGGTTAAAAACTCCTTGTATATATCTATAGTATGTAAAGCTATATATTGAACTACGTAGTTTTATCACAATTTTGTTAATAAAGTTATGTTATTGTTAATTAAGGAAAACTAAATGAACAGTCTTCAGTTAACCTTAATAACTATTGATTTATAAAAAAACACTAGAGTTTTATAAGAAGACAAAGCTGTACTAATAATATTTCATTTTTATATTATTATACATATATTCACACTGTTCAAAGTCTCTTGATTTTCTCTTAGAAGTTTTCTTTTGTCCGTTTCACATTTTCTCATAAATGTGGGACCTTTTACTGTGAGGTAGAATTTAAAACCTTTGCTGTAAGTTGGGAAATTTCTGTGCTGTTCAGTACTGAAATAGTGAGCGATTTTAAATTAAAATCTATATATAAATAGAAATAAGAACACATTGGTGTGAATCATCATTACCAACTACAAACACTTTACACGAGCAAACAATTCAGTAAGAACGTTTTTTGGAATGATGATCTATTTATGTTCAAGCAGTTTTCCATTATCTATAATTATCTACAAGTATATTTCATATATTTTCAAGATATGTAACATATGGGGGGATTTCTAACAAAAACCAGGTACAAGACCTCCAGACCAAAATTGAATTTTCCACAAAGATTATAACTGGCGGAAATTTTAGATATTCACTTTATATATCAAAAACATGTGTAACATATATTGCTTATATTCAGTTTTTTTCCTAGATTATCTATTATTGCAATAATAATGTTAAATAGAGAGAGATATTAAAGGTGTTATTGGGATTCATTCAAGAGGACAGGATAGGTAAATTCAAATGTTAATTTTTTTTAATTCATGATAGTAAAGTTAGATTAGTAATAATTAATTTATGGTTGGAGATCGAGAATTCTCACTCATTTTTTGGTTCCGATTCATCTATTCAACCGCCTAAGCTCAAGATCCTGTAAAAGCCTGGTCATATCAAACATTTATATGGCTTGTGTGATTTGTAAAACATAAAAATAAGGTATTACTTGGATCATAGAAAAAGTAATAGATTAATAAAAATATCATTAAACTTGGACAACTACTTCACAGTACGGTTGATTTTGCTAAAGGGTATAGATGTAATTATAAATTATTTGTTTCAAATGATTGACACATTTTCCATATCTAATAAAGTTTGACGTCACGAACTCTATCCTCAAGCGCCTAAGGGTTCAGCCTTAAGGGTAAACCTCAAGTAAAACAAATTCCATTTTGGTATCAAATGTTTTTGTGTAGCTTGAGAATGTCCTCAAGCGCATGGGTTTTATCCTCAAGTGACAATTTTATGTAATAAAATTAATGATCAAGTTAAACTTGCAAATGTAATTTAACTATGTTTTTGATTTTATAATATCAATAAAATTGTCTTATTTGCAAATTACAATGAAATCAAAATTCCCGAGAAGATTTTGAAAACTTTATTCAAAATATACTAATATGATTAAACCTTCATCATAGCCACATAATCAATATAGGTTTTTATTTTCATTATTTAATGATAAATTTTGTCACCTGTACTCAAAAAAACAGCATTTTTGATTATTAGTGGAGTTAATTGATAAATGTATTAAAATGAAAAACTTTAGATTTTAATAATTTTATATATAGTGGATATGAGAAAAAGATTTAAAAAACTTATATATAAAAGTTTAAACATACAGTATATGCAGCAGGAAAAGAAATTTATTAAGAAAAATATTTTATGTAAACAAATAGACAAGACAAGTGTTTCCGTAGACAAATGGGTCGATTATAGTCGAACATTTAATAAATAAGGGAAAGTTTATATAAACAAATTTCTATAACAGTCATTGAATAATTTATAGAAGGAAAATTTTTATTACGTTATTAGAAACAAAGAATTTTGTTATGTGAGCGTTATCTTATTCTGGTAAATATTGACCCAAAAAATGAAATTGCTTGTGGATGATCCCCGGGTCACTTGAGGTTCGCCCTTTATGCTGAACCTTAAGCGCTTTGGGTTTCAGCCTTAAACTCAAAAAACATCATGTTGATTATGACGTCACAAAGTGGAATCATAATTACGGGATCTTAATTAACATTAACATTAATATACAAAGTTTATTATCGTGAAACCCGTCAATGATTTTGATGATGTCATAGCCTGGGAAATATGGAAAATAACGGTAAGTTACTAAATATTACAGGTGGGTTGCACAATAAAATTATTACAATTTTTACGTATAATCCTACCCCAGTTAATTTAAAGTTAGCCGTGCAACCTTTAATTAAAATAATCTCAAATTTTATTGATTAACGTTAATTAACATTAAATAATGTTATATTTTAAAAAAATCTTAAATCTAAAACATATTCTATATCAATTTCACCATTAGCTCTCATGATTCTTGATTGTCAATATTAATATACTTTTCAATTATTTCTTCCTCATCCACTATATTATTTTCTCTTGGCTCTTCCACCGCTACCTCTTCTTCTTCCACTTTCTTCCATTTTTTCCTTTCTTCAATCCAATTATTTTAATCTTTGATATTATTGGCTTCTTTAATTGAATCTAATTCTCTAATATATTTATTAACTGTTTCTATAAACAAATTATCCTCCATATTTTCTTCAGAATAATTAAATTTTTCTATTCCACCAGCAACGTAATATGAATGTAACTTGGCCATCTCTTGAGCTTTCCGAAGCTAAAAAAAATAATTTGAATGTTTTAATACAAGAAGATATTAATAAAAATCTTTATATAACAAAAAAATTTTCACTATCCATACCTCATATATTCAGATTAAAAATCTACCAAGTCCTAGCACAGAGAAAACCTTTTCACAATTTACATTATGAGGCAAAATATTAAGGATTTTTCAAAGCCAACATTCGTACATGATTATAATCTTGTTTGTAACTATTCCACCAAAGTTTTGGAGCGTCTATATCATCAAGATATTCATATGCTTCGTAAGCACGGAGTTGTGTAATGAGCAAATCAACTGTTGCAATAGTTTTCTTATAGGAACCATTCATAAGCTGCTGGTTGACAAATTTTTCTTAAAGTTTCATTCTTTGTTCAATGCTTAGGATGAAAGAAATATGCAAGAAGATAAAGTTCAAAGTCAAATTGTCTCCACACCTATTAAATAATCAAATGCTTTAGTTCTAAATTGATGATTTATATCCTCAGATAAATCCTTGATTTCAATATTAGTTTGATTAATTGTATAAAACAATCTACAAGTGTGGTTGTAATTACATGTTTTATTGGCATTAACACCTTTGATAAATCTTCAACCTGCTACCAAAAAGCATGATTCCTTAAAATAGATTCAAATTATCAGTTAAACCATCTGGATCATTATTGAGAATTTAAAAGTATATATACAAGTAATAAGTGTACTAAAATTAATGCACTGTATTTATATAAAGATAAAATAAATATGTACTGCCATTTTTTAAACAAAGAAATAGCTTCCTTAACCCTAGGTATAATAAAAATACATGTGTTTTATAATTTTGAAAGTTATATATATATATATATATGACTGTTTTTTCAGAATTTCTTCTTTTAGGATTACACGCACACAAATCTAGAACATTGATTATGGCATTATGACCTATTACAGCTATCACTCAAATGCCGTAATATTAAGACAAATCAATTTGGGCTGCATTATAGTAATGATCAATGGATCTCTAGAAAAAATCAAAACAAATTGTAGATCTTTTAATTGAAATAAAATAATTGGCGAAAGTTTTATTATTAAATGGTCATACAACTTCCAAAATTATGTATTATGTATATTTTAACTGCTTTACAAACCTACCAAAAAACAATCAATAACTTCAAATTATAATCATAAAGTTGTCATACAAAATTCGATAACTTTTTTCATAACTTTTAAATATACTGAAGAGTCGTTTGAGTTTATTGATCCATCACTCATTCATAAAGCTCTGAACAGTTCTGTTTAAATCAAAAAATTCAGTTTGGTTTCGTTTAGTTTGGTCCAGTTCAGTTTTTAAAAAAGCCAAACTGAGGATTTTTGGTTCAGTTCAGCTTTGGTTTATCTTGTGAACTGAACAGATAATAAATTGAAAAATTTCAGCTTATCCGAAATATCAATGTGCTAAATTGTTGAAGATTTGGAAACGTAAATAATAAAATTTTTCGATTTATATTTATTCTTTCTTTAAAATTTTTTTCTTATAGTTGTAACTTATTTACTTTTTTAAAAAAAACTTTTTTAATAATAATCTTTACTTTAATATTTATAAACAGGACACATAATAAGAAAATTATGCCAATTATATTTTAATAACATGTGACGCAAAAAATTTAAAATCCGTTATAGAGTGAACTTAACTATAATTCACTTGACTGTACTTGAATCTTTTGTCTGGGTGTAAAAACACCAAATCGCGTCATGCTTGAGCATGGTTATAGCAATGTTAGTTATTGCACTGATCTTTGTGCTTTTAATTTTGAAGTATATAGCAATAAACTTTTAAAAGCTCTATTATTCCTAATTTAAAACACGAATTGGAATGTCAAATGTTAATACTTGAGAGTTTTTTATTTGTTGTATTTTTTTTACAAAGTGTAAAAATCAACAAAATCATGTCGTGCTCAAGCTGTACCGGTTACTCGGGCTTTAAACACATAATGGTCAGTCAATTTTGGTATGGGAAATGAGTTTTTTGCACTTATTTTTGCGACTTTTAATCTAAATGATTTTTTTATCTTATAAAATTCGATTCGGTTTCAGTTTGCGTTTAATAAAGTTCAGTTTGGTTTGATTATAAACCAAAATTTTGCTGTTTGCACTCTAAACCACGCCGAACCAAATCGTTCGGAGCTTTACTCATTCATCAGGAATATGGCTATTAAAATTATAACATTAATAAATAATTACATATTAACAATTTATAAAATGATTTTCTCTCTACCTATTGCATGTAACAGGTTACTCTATATAAATTCTGTGCCAAATTTTATATAGTGAAATAAATAAACATGATTGAAACTATTAAAAGAGTTAAATAAAAGTCACCAAGTTGATTCTTAAAAATAATGAATAATTAATGATGAGATCATTTTAAATTTTGTAAAATTATACTTTGAATTAAAGCAATACTTAACAATGAGATTCCATCGTTTTCCTGGATGTCTATTTGCAAGATCTTAATACAACACAGACATGGCAGAGTACTAGCTAGCGAGTGGTCTAGTGTTTGCCATTAATAACTTGTAGATTGTAATTATAGAATCAAACAAAAAATAAATAAATAAACAGGATTTGGACCAATAGTTCACCTATATGTAAGAAAAAAAGTAGCGGGTTCTTAATTTATATATTCAAAAGAATTTATTTTAATATCACGTAAACTCATATATGAATTGATCGATGAATTTTTCCAGAATCCAAATTTGGTATATTCCCTGACTGTAATTGTTGATGACAATAAATAATAGGTTATGAGGATCAAACTGAATAGGATGTTTAGTTTTGGTTATTTTCAAGTTGAAACTTGTTATTATTTTCTTTTATTCAAGAAAGGGAAAAGTTAGATGGCATTCAAGTTGTTTGTATACATGTTTATAATTAGAGGACCAATTTAGCGACCAAGTCTACTTTATCGACTTTGAAGATGTTGTCTACCAAGTCTATTATTGTGTCTCATTGACTTGATACAAATTAAACAACACATGTCGAAATACAATGTAACAAAATATCAATCAATCAATAAATAGGATAATGTCAATAAGAGTGATTAATCCAAAGATAGGTAGGTGTGTTGCGAAATTCAATAAAGAGACTTGTACTAAAGGTGATATGGCGCCATTTTAATAATGGCTTGAATTTAGAATTATATTTGATTTTTTCTATTCCATTTCGAATTTAGCTTTGATTTCGATTTTTGATTTTAGTCGAAATAACCCTTTAAATTAATTCTATCCGAACACAAACACAAGTCAAATATCTCTTCTGCCAATAATTCAACAAGTGATTTAATGACATGTGAGTTGAATAGCCACAATTTTTATGTAGTAAATAATAACATTAAATAATAACCAGTTTTTAAACGGTGATCTTGGAATCAGTATTAGGGTCGATTTTTAACTAATCTTGGAACCTGTTCCAAAAGACTGGTCTTTGGAACTGAATCAGTAAAAACATGGTAATCTGTCCATTGGATATCACCGAGATAAATTAAAAACAGTAATCAGGTTTATTGTGAGATATTGATAAAGGATTTGGAATGAATATGTTACACTAAAAAAATTAGCTCAATTCTTTTATTATTATATCACAAGTTGAAGATGTCGTCTCCTTCCCAGCCTAAAGAATTCGCCCCGCCAACTTATACTCTATCCTTATATAAAAAATATTTTTCATAGGTTTAATATTTTTACCGTGGTTATGATTGATCAACATTATTTATATGTGGCCAAACACAAAACGTCAAGATATAGGCAGAGAAATTAGAAAATTATGAGACTTTTTTATTAAATTTTTCAATCAATCATTCATCATTTATTGGCACTTATTTATCGTTTATATTTATAATTTTTTCAAATTTTACATTTTCCGCAATTGGTATAATATTTTGGCTTATAGTATCAATGACTTGGTTTATCATATTTGTTAATAAAAGAATTTCTTGGGGTGAATTTTCAGACAATATAATAGTTGTAAGACTTAAAGGTATCTAAATAGTTGGCTAGTTATATTTCCGCGTATAATATATTTATTTTATAATTTTAATATTTTGTTACTTTTTGTAAAATTAAAAAAATGCAATGCAATTAATTTAATTAATTAATTTCTTAATTTCTTGTTACTTCGAGGTGACTTAGATCCATTTGTCTAAAAAACAATTATATATCATATATTATATACTATCATCCGAGTAAATCCAATCAATCATCAATCAATCAATCAATTCAATACTTACCAGTGAATTGTTGAAGTTAGAGCTATCGATGATACTCGATTTTGCTTTTTGCAAGGTTGCTTGTTTTGTCTTCAATTCATTTTCTTGTTTTTCAAGATTTTTTTTTAAATCCAACAAGTTTTGAATAGCTTTTTGTAATTCTGTCCATTTACCACAAACACTTTCAGTTGGTACAGTGGGAAGATATCCTAGTCCACATTCCTGGAAAGTCTTTTGTACTTTTGTTAATAAGTTTTGTTTTGGAACTGGTATTTTTTGACTTCTAACTGATGCTCCTATTGGGAATTTTTCACACCGTGTATGTATAGGTATTATGGCTTCAACTTTTGAATGAGCTAAAAATTAAGAGGAAGTAACAATTAGAGAAATAACAAAAGATTATTAGAAAATTAGAAAAGTAAATCTTTATTTACGTTCTGATACAGTGGTGGTTGAAGTTGATGTACGATAATGTTGGTTTTGTTGTTGTCTTTTAAATGAATCCCCGGCAGATAGATTGAAAGCTCTTGATGATCCATTAAATTCAACAATAGGTGTTAATGGACCATTATGAAATGATTTCTTTCTTTTTTGCTATATAAATTATTTTATTATAATATTATTTAACTATTAATGATAATAAATTTTCATTTTTTAATTTGTTATTATTATTATTATTATTATTTTACCGGATTTTGAATGATTTCTCGAAGGCTTAATAATTTCGCCAAACTTTCACTCTCTTTTCTAATTTTCTTTTCAATTTGTTCAATATGCCCATATTCCTTTAACAATGACTCTTCTTCCTATAAATATATCACAATTATATGATGGTTATTCTACAAATACAAATGTAAATATAAACGATAAACATATAATAAATATCCATACCGCTATTTGTTTCGAAGAACGGTTATACAAATGACGTAAATTTTTTTTTCTTTTTTCTTCCTTTACTTTATCATAAGTATTCAATGCAATAATTGCACCTTTGTCTTGTTGATTGTTACCAGGTTGCGTTGGTCTTATTTGTAAAATCTTTTTACACACCGAGTAGTATCTTTCTTTTAAATCCTTTTTATATATTAAAAAGTGAAAAGAAAGGTGTGCGAGAATTAGTTTTTAAGATTTCTTGGTCTATTAGTATCACCATCATCATCTTTTAAATCACATATTAATAATATAAATTAATTTTATAAATTTTTACTTCAATAGTTCTAATCTTATTTGGAAAATCATATCTATCATGTATAATAATAAACCTAAGATCATATTTTCTACACATATCAAACAGATAATCAGTTTCTTCCTTGGACCAATCTCGATCTAGAATAAATAGATTATATATATATATGTAGATATATATGTGAAGATAAAATGCTGATATATAATGTGAATCTATATTTATACCTATTAGATATTTATTATATTCATCATCCTCATAACTCTCAATTTCGACAGAACAATTAAATCTAAAAAATGGATATATTTCTAGAAGAAAAGCTTGGCCTTAGATATAGTTTACAGCTTTAAATTAATTAATCAATAGATAAATAAATTACCCTGATCTTCGATATTCGAGACTTTTGTCCAATGTTTTAACCTTAATCCATCATTCCTTGAATTATTAATAAATTCTTTACATTCCCTTTAGTGGATTTTAAATATTAATAAATAAATTTTTATTAAATAAATAAATTGTTATGTTTAATCAATAAATCAATCAATCAATCAATCAATGAACTGATCAAATATAGATTTATCACCATTGAACACCTTGATCCATCAATTTTGATCTAGTTTTTAGAGCAGGTCTCACAATTGCTACGGGAGATGGTCCACCAATTAATTGAAACAATTTTTCAGTTAAAACATCTAAAATCACACACACATATATATATAACAGTGTAAGTACAATGAATGTCATTATGTCAAATATAAATAAACAAGTCATTAAAAAGTTCTTGTAATAAATACTGTCTGCAAACCATTAAATTACCTGATTCATTGTTTACATTTTCAGGTTTAGAATAATTATTGTTTAATGAATCATTTTCTACTGTTTTCGAAAGTTCTTGAATATCTTTATTGTCAAAATAAGTCATATTTATTTATTTTCTTTTAGATCATCAAAGAGAACAATCGATTAAATGCTCCTTTGAATAGAGAGTACCAAAATTATTATTTAGATTCAAAAGAGAAAATGTTTTAGCAATGATTGTATACCTCTAAAGGAACTAATGAATTATCAGCTTGGCAAATTGTGCAACAATGAAATTAAAATAATGAGAAATGGTGCAAAGATAATTGTGGATAACTGTCTGCATTACTGCATAGTAGTATATACACTTACAGTCATTTGTGTAGTATTTATAATATAAAAAAAAAATATAATTCATCTTTTTGATTTTACCTTGAACATAAAACAATGAAGTATTCCACTGTTTTTCAGGGATTGAAATTAGTGGTGATGGCTTGTTTATAGATGTTGTCTCTAATGGTGAAAACCGTAGAAATTCTCCTATGTGTGGTAGACATTGAGCTCGCATAAATCTAGCATAATCACCTTCAATTGGCCATTCAAAGTAAAACAATTTTGTAATGCCATCAATCGTTTTCACTTTGTGATTTTGATTTTGGCGTGCTGGCACAAGTTGAGCAATAGAGGTCCCCTTTAATCTATGTATTGCTTCTTCTATTTTCCTTCCTTCATCTAGATTATGGCCAACATGTACATATCTCTTGATAGCATGAGAAATCTAACAAAAGGCATATTTTTTAATTAATGGAAGTACATATGGGGGCGCTCTAGGAAAACCAGGTTTCGAGACTTTTGGTCAAAAAAAATTTTTTTGCATGATATTAAACTATAATATCATGACTATAATTTGTGAAAAAATTAGATGTGATTTATTTAGTACAAAAATAAATTCTTGGGGGTAACCAAAATTTTTTTGAATCGAATTTAAAAATCAAAATTTAAAAAAAGCAATGATCTACATACTGCACATTTCATAGTCACGGAAATCATATTTAATAAAAACTATTTCGTTAATATTAAGCCGAATTTTATTATAATTTCTACTTTACTTGATAAAACGAACTTAATGGTTTGTACAAAATAATAAAATCTAACTTTCTAAGCCGAATATGATCATAAAAATTCGTCTTATAATGATAAAATTCGGTTTAAAAATGGTCGATCACCCAACAATCAAGTTTAGTCAAGATGATTATTACTAAATTAGGCTTTTAACCCTTTATGCTGCCAGCCCTGTTTGTATCGGATCCTATTCCCAAAAGTTCGGCTTATCGAGGTTTGACTGTAATCCCAGACTGAATTAGATGACGTTTTGATAGTTATTTTCTGTTGTAAAAGTTAATTTATAATATAATACTTACCATCTGGTTATTTTAAATAAATAAAAATAAATTTATTTAATTAGATGATATTTAATCTGTTGGAATGCATATATATGGGTTTTAACAAAGTTGGCTTGCTTATTTCTAAGGCTAGCCATTTGGTAACATAGAATCATTACCTTTTTTAGGCTTATTTTTGTAGAATAATTTTTTGAAGAAGGGTTCATGCTTTGATACAGCATATCAAAAAAACCTTTTAACGAAGGATCTCTTTCTTTGATCATTTTTATGAATTCATCAGGATCATTAATAATTTTGTTTTTTTCACGATGTTAATAATTATATAAAACAGAAGAAAGCCTTTTTATTTGATCATTAAAAAAATAAATAAAAAATAAAAAATAGGAAATAGTAGTTAATATTTGATAACCTTTAATATGTTTATTTGATGGTCGAGTGATTTTTAATTCTATAACTTGATTTTGTAATTCCTGTAAAGTAAAATTAGATGTGGATATTTATTTCCATTTCCTTCCTCCATATGGTCTTATAATATCTATTATTTCTAATGTATATAAATATGTATGTGTGTAAACGTGAATGTGATGTATATGTAAACATGAATGTATAAAACGTCCGCTGTTACCAAATTGTAAAAACGAATTTAAACACTCTTACAAATATTTTAATTGTGGTAAAAATATATTCTCCATTTTAAAAATAATATCCTATTTATAATGATAAAAATAAAAGATAATCAATCTCATCTATTTAAATGTTCTAAACATAATTGGTAAAAATAATTAATATTATTAATACATAAACTTAATTTGTCACAAACATTCTTTAATTAAAAATAAGATCTTATAACAAATCTTAGGAATAATTCGCAATCTTTATTTAAAAAATAAAAATGTACAATCAAAGAAATTAGAAAAAGGAGAAAAAACGACGGAGAACGACGAGGAATAAACGAGTAAGTGTTTATCATAATAATGGAGGTTATTGACACTTGTCGCGTCAGACTAAGTGACTTGCACTATATATAATAATTTTTGATTTTTTTAATATTACAAGAAAAACTCTTGACAAAGTAAATGAAGAAATCATTCATGGGTAAGTGTTATTCATTAAAAAAGAATGGTGGTGGTGGTTATGATGCATCACAACTTGTTGTCATTCTAGTTTCCAGCTATAATAATAAACTTTGGTTTTTTTTAAATAGTGCTGCTCACGAGCTTTCAGAAATAAAAAAAGTTCAAGAGGAATCGTCAAAAATCATTGCTGAATTGGAAGATAAAGTCTCGAAATTTAAAAAAATTCAAGAGGAATCGTTACAAGCCATTATAGAAAAAATCAAAAAATTCCAAGAGGCATCTTCACAAACAATTGTTAAATTGGAAGACGAAATTTTAGATTTGAAAAAAAATTCAAGAAACATCATTACAAGTTATTACCAAGTTCGAAGATATTTCAACAACACAGGTCTCAAAACCCGAAGTAATCACTGCTAAACCAACAGAAATACCAAAAAATCCTGAAATTCATACAAAAATTTATGAAAGCATAAATAAACCTGAAGAATCATTTAAACTTCGAGTAAAACAAGCAAGGATGAGTACTTTTATTCAGCCAACCACAGATACAGATTATCAAATTAAAAAACGAAAAAAAAATTAAAGGACGATCATGTGTTAAATATGTATTAAACTAATAACATGCTCATAATAATATATAATGTTATTCGAAAATATTAATATTTGCAATTATAATAAATAATATGTATGGTATTAAATAATATTTTTTTGTATTGAAAGTGATCTCGCCATATACTTCTCTCATCTAATTCCATAAACATTTTCTGTCACAAATTATTTATGTTGTTTTCTACTAATTTAATTCCTATTAGTTAAAATTAACAATCATTATGCTTAACGAAGTAATTACACCATATTAATTATGTATTATAAAAGCAATTCAATAAATTTTATTTTAAACACATATAACCCATTCATCAAACTTCACATAATTAAAGTATGTTATCAACTATTATCTTGTTCCCTCACCATAATATTTGGTAACAGTAATTTTCTTTCTTTCTAGATTCTTCATGGCTTTATGTTATCACATTCTTTGATCAGTTATGATTTTCTTTCTTCTTGATAGATTTCATAGAACCAACCATTGCCCATATAATATGGGAAACATCATTTTGGTTTTCATCAAACTTATGGTGCAGGTCATCTATACTCATCAAAAATGTAGATCATTCCGAAATTTCAGATAACTATCAATGAATTTTTATTGGTTAATTTTTTTAAAAGCAATTTATTATTATTCTATATTAATTCTATTTAATTCTTCAATTACACCATCTGGTATTCTCCTATGAGATCTATATTTTTTGACAGCATACTCTGCTAATTTACCACTGATTTCTTTTCTATATAAGTCCATATAATGCCAACACTTTCTTGAAAATTTCCTAATTGTAATTAAAGATACTGATTCAAGACTTTCAGGTACTGTTTTTTTTAAACCCTCCCATGAATAATCACAATTTTCTCTCAGATATTGTTTAGCAGCACCCCAATATCTTTCAATAAAGTTTAGCTCACAGTGAAATTTTGGAAAAAAGATGCATTTATGTCCAGCATTCTCAATCAGCTCTTCAATTGCTCCTTTTTGTGCTAAAAAATCTGGTTCCAATGATAATACATGATGTGCACAACAAGATTTTCTTGAATCATCTTTAATATTTTCTTTACATTCTTTGCATTCTAATATTAATCCTTGAGATGACCATTTTCCTCTTTCTATTAACACTTGTTTTATGCCCTTAGGTTTGTTTCTAAGTTTCTCATCAGGATGTGTAGATGGAAAAACCATTGATTGTGGCTGTTTATCTTCTCCAAAGTAAGTATCATGCATAACAGGTTGCTTGCCACCTGGTTTTAGATTCATTCGTTTTGCAACCAAAGCATCATTTCTGAATGCAGCATGGTTAGAACTATTATCAAAAGCAAATACAGCTATGCAATCTGGATATAATGCCTCAAAAATAGGGATTGCTTTATATTCGATTTGCTCAAGAAGATGTTCTGCTGTCCAATAATCATCTTGATTTATGCCAGGCTTTAAATAACATTGTGCTTCTTCAGGTACATATGGATGTTTCTCTATGTCAGCTTGTTGCAAACAAAGGCATCCATTAACTTCTGTTAAAAATTCACTAACCATAATTGATCTGCCATTTCCCTTTTTTCTCAGTGGCATCTCACCATTCTTGGTTCACACTCCACGTTTACCATCATTAGAATAGAAAATACTCTCATCATGAACTACAAGAATTCTTTCTTTTTGTCCTTCAGGTAAGTTAGGGATTATTCTATCCATTGTTTCACCTTCATATTTGAACATATACTTCTCATGGTCAAACATTTTTTCTAAGAACACTTTCCTATATTGCAGAACATCTTCCCTTTCATGTCCATCATAATATGTTCCTTGATGATGTAGTTTAAAAGTGTAACCAAGAATGTTTAACCATCTTTTTGCAGTACTTAAAGAAATATCTTTT